GGGGCTAAACAGGCGGTGCTGTAGAATCGGTGGGCGGAGCTAAACATGCGGTGCTGTAGAATCGGTGGGTGGGGCTAAACAGGCGGTGCTGTAGAATCGGTGGGCGGGGCTAACAGGCAGTGATGTAGAAGCAGATGTTGATCATCTTCTATGGAGGCGGGGTTTAGACACTATTACGTCATAAAGTGGCACATTCCACAACCAGACTGGCTTCAATATAAGCTGTTTTTAGACTTACAAGAAAGTTTTGAGTTCTGGAACTTACAGGATGTTTTTATAGCACACTGACCTCTTATCTGTCAAAAGATCAAGGGAATTTTGGTTTCTCAGTTCATGACCCCTTTAATAGATTCTGTGCAGTATAAGAGACAGCCTTCAGTTTAAAAAAATTTAAGTACTGCAGTCTAATTGTATTTTACAAATATAATATTTTTGTAGCTGTTTTAGCATACATTTGGTACCAAAGCTGAGTCTACTATCTCTAAATATTGTTTAATTGATGACTAAAGGAAAAGCAAAGCTGAACATTGTGCTGTGTGGAAATTATACAACATTCAAGAGCTCAGTGTCTAAAATGTTTCAAATGGCGGCCCGAGAGAAGAAAACACGCAGGTCGCACATACGCCTTGAATTGTTTTTGCACTAATTAGTTTGTCTAGAAGGTGGCAACACTGGCTCGGGCCGGCCCGTACGCATATGCTGCTTCAGACAGCGCGCCAGTAGCGCTTCAATGAACAAAAACACACACATTTATGTCAAAATGTGTGGTTTAAGCGAGTGACCTTGTAAACACGGTCTTAAAAATGACCGTAAAGATTTGGGATAAAACTGGATGTGTGTCAGATTCGCATCAGGTTTTAAAGAGACAGCGTGGCTTTTAAAGTGAAACCTGCTGAAGTCTGTCATTGGGGTAAATGACAGAACAAAGGAAAAAGAGAAATCACTCACCTAATGCATAAGAAAGCTAATAAAATAATTTCAACTCTTGAATAAAGTTAATAGTAAATGAATGAATTGAAAAGTGTTGTGACATTAAATTTGATTTAATGAGGTGAGGATCTACATGCGGCAAAATTTACTAACAATAGATAAATACAAGACAACCCTGGAGTTGGCTCACCCTCCGCCTATGTGTGAGAGTTTTATCTTTGGTGTTTCCGCATGAGTGTGTGTTCAGGACATGAAAGGTTGTTTACTAGTGGGAAAATAGTCAATTACAGTGCAGTCGTGATTACAGTAATTCTGACATGATGTGAATGCAGCATTAATCTAACTTAAGTTTAAATCACATTGTTAAACTAGTTTATTTCTTTGACACAGATTCAGAGGGTGTGAAGCTGAATCTGGTTGTGTGTGGGAGTAACAGAGAATTAAAATCCTTCACATCAAACCTGATCCTGAAGCAGAGCGAGAGCAGATCCGAGCTGAGCTCCGAGTGTGTGAGGAGAGACGTGGAGCTTGATGGACGTCTGATCAGTCTGCTGGAGCTTCCAGCTCTGTTCAACACTCAGCTCCCAGAGGAGGACGTGATGCATCAGACTCACCGCTGTGTGTCTCTCTGTCATCCTGGAGTTCATGCTTTCATCCTCATCATTCCTGATGCTCCACTCAATAATGAAGACAAAGCAGAAATGGAGAAGATCCAGAGGATCTTCAGCTCAAGAGTCAACAATCACATCATGATCCTCATAAAGCAGAATCCAGAGCATCAGACAGCAGAACTTAATGAAGAAACACAGTCTGTCATTGAGAGATTTGGAGGACGACATCATTTCATCGGGCTGAACACACAAGTGTCTGAGCTGATGGAGAAACTGGAGCAGATGGTTGAGGAAAATAGAGGTGTCTGTTTCTCCACAGAGACACTGATGGAGGCACAGATGGAGAAACTGCAGGAAGTTGAAGAAATGAAGAAGAGAGTCCATTCATTAGAGACGTGGTTTCAATCACAAGGTAATGATTAGGAAATCTGCATTGGTTAAACACTTTTCATGATTGCTGAAATCTACACAGTGTTCATTTGAAATTCAATAACTTTTTTTTATTTATCTATCTTTAGATTCAAGAGACAGAGAAGATGATCTGAGGATTGTGCTGCTGGGAAAAACTGGAGCTGGGAAGAGTTCAACTGGAAACACCATCTTAGGAAGAGTCATGTTTAAAGCTGAAATATCTCAAGAGTCTGTTACTGAAGTGTGTCGTAGAGAGAAAGCTGAAGTCAACGACAGACACATCACTGTGATCGACACTCCAGGACTGTTTGATACTGAACTCAGTAATGAAGAAATCCAGAGAGAAATCAGCAACTGCATCCCAATGATTCTGCCTGGACCACATGTGTTCATCATCGTGCTCAATTTAGGACAACGATTCACTCAAGAAGAAGCAACAGCAGTGAAGATCATCCAAGAGACGTTTGGTGAAAACTCTTTAATGTACACCATGGTGCTCTTCACCAGAGGAGATGATCTGAATAATAAAACCATTGAACAGTGTTTGGGAAAACCTGGATCTGCTTTAAATGAACTGATTGAAGCGTGTGGAAACAGATTCCATGTGTTCAATAATAAAGAGACTGGAGACCGAACACAGGTGACTGAGCTACTGCAGAAGATAGACAACATGGTGAAAACAAACGGAGATAGTTACTACTCGTGTAAGATGTTCAGAGAGATGGAGAGAGAAATACAAGAACAACAGATGAAGATCCTGATGGAGAGAGTGGAGCAAGTGAACAGAGAAAAAGAAGAACTGATGAACAAACATGAAGAAGAGAAAAAGAGGATGAAGATGAAGATGGAGGAAGAACGACAGAATCATGACAAAGAGAGAAAGAGAAGAGAAGAAGAATTTATTGAGAGAGAAGAACGATATAGACTAGACATTAAAGAAAGAGAAGAAAATGAGAGAAAGATACGAGAGGAGCTGAAGAGAGAACGAGAGGAATGGGAGAAACAGAAACAAGAAGCAAGACAAAGAAGAGAAGAAGAGGAGGCGAAATGGAGAAAGAGAGAAGAGGAAATGATGGATGAAGAAAGACAGAAGCGTAAAAGAGAGAAAAAGAGAAGAGAAGAGGAATTTGACGAGATGGAAGAGCAATATAAATCAGAGATGAAAAGAGAACGAGCGAAATGGGAGAAACAGGAACGACAAGAAAGAGAAAGAAGAGCTGAAGAGGAAGACAGAAGAAGGAGAATGAAACAACAGGAAGAATATGATGAACATTGCAAGACACTTAATCGAGAAAGAGAAAGACAGAGAGATAAAGCACAACTTCAGTTCCAATATGAAGAACAGATCAGGGAAATGACGAAGAAGATGGGGGAAGAAAGACAGAATCATGACAAAGAGAGAAAGATACGAGAGGAGCTGAAGAGAGAACGAGAGGAATGGGAGAAACAGAAACAACAGGAACGACAAAGAAGAGAAGAAACACCCAACTCTATTCAACTTGATACAGGAACTCCTGAGGTCCAGCACACAAACAACAAGTCAGAATAAAAACCATCTCATTTTGAAATTAATTAGCCGAAAATGTAGTATTTGGGTGTGAACAAAGCTGAGATGCAGGATATAATGATTCTTAATAGCAACCTCTGTGTGTGTATCTTTAAGAGCAATGTTAATCATTGAATCATATAATCATTATTCATGTATTTAATCATTTATTATATAACTCATTATTTTCCTTGCTTGCTATTGTTGTTTAATCTAATGGCGATTGGCCAATACAGTGATAAATCTCCGCTCAGTGCTGCTGACAAAGCTAAAATGTGTCTGTAGTGCGTTTAATCTAAGTTTATTTCAGTGCACAGCCAATATATATATACACACATCAACATATATACACGCAATTACAGTTGGAAAGAGGACAGCCAATTGAGCGGAATGGCCAGCAACACCCTGACAATTAAAAGCTTCAACAATTGAACCTGAACCTGATTTTTCTGTGTGCTTTGTGTTCTTCTGTGTTGCTCTTGCTTCTCCTGCTGTCTAACTGCTGTTGTCTGTGTTGTGTTGTTGGTGAAATAAATAGATGGATATCAACTGCCGATTCGCTCTTCATTTAATCTGACAGAATAAAACATGGTGTGATTTCGCCCGTTTACATTCCTCTTTCATGCAGAGAAGGTGCAGAAAAAGAAGAGGAGGAGCAAAGACAGGAAATTAACATTAACACTTCAGTCTGAAATTTAAAGGGGAAGATGCACACATATAAAGTGTACATTTGATCATTTTTGTGTAATTCCACATATAAAACACATCATTTTCCATACCTGTTACACCTGCTTGACCGGCTCATGATTCCCGTCCCAGCTCATGAAGTGGAGTACAGAGGAACCCAGAGAATATCAGTCGAGTGAGAGAGACTGAGGCTTTCCTCTTTGAGACACGCTACCATATTCTGGCTCTGTTGTTTTCTGTGTTGTGTGTGTTGTCTTGCCTGTAGTGCTCAGATAAAGCTGTGTAGTGTGTTTCAGCTAACCTTTGTGTACCTGGCACTTCAGCTTGAACACTGTTCTGATGACGCAAGAGTTGCAGCTATGGCAGCTGAGAAGGCCAGACTTTGTGCTCTCCTTGCCTGTAGTGCTCAGATAAAGCTGTGTAGTGTGTTTCAGCTAACCTTTGTGTACCTGGCACTTCAGCTCAATCTGAGCTGTGTAGTGCTTCAGCTAAATTTGTGAGAATCAGAGATTCTACAGTACATTGCCTCTGGACACCATGTCTGCGCCCAAGTTCAGACTGTCCGGCACATGAACAACAAGTTATATAGCATCCCTATGATTTTTAATTAAACAATTTTGAATAATGATAATGATTTTGTTTCTGCTTATTGTAGGCTGTTCATCAGAACAATTAAGGAAGAAACTACAGCTTCCGTATATAATTATAACCATTACAATTTTAATGGATTAAAAGAGGAAAAATGAATGGACGATGTGGACTGAACTGGAATAGGGTAGAGTGGGGAAATAAACAACCCCGTTGCACATCGTCTTCAGGAAACATGTCGTTTAAACCGGAAACCGTAGCAAAACGTTGCGCACCGGTTTGAGCTTGAACGTGCCCCTGATGAACCTCAGAGAAAACAGATTTCACAGGAAGTGATTTCAGCAGAATAAGAAAAAAGTGTTTTAAAGCTTGTTGTTTTGTAGAACATCACAGTTATATATGATATGAGAATAGTAAGGCCTGTAGATAGAGAGTACGTGTTTTTAAAAAAAAAAATCATTATATTTTCAGAATGACCTTTTTTTTTTTTCAAACCTAGTCTGTGGGGTAAAAACGCCCTCAAGGGGCGTGGCTTAGTTACAACAACAAATCCTTTGTTTTTCCATCAAATGTATTCTAATTGGTTGAATAAAAATATTTGTACTTTATATTTATAAATTACCTCAAGTTAGCATCAGCTAGCAATAATTTTCAAATAGACTAATATAATTTTGTAATTCATAATTATTGATTATATTATTTTTTAATTTTAAGCTAAAACTGCCTGTACTCTGATTTTGCTGTAAATGTATAAAGCAAATTGCTTTGTCAGCCTGGGGGCATTTTACTCCACCTGTGAGGCAAAACGCCCCCAGGTACAAATTTAATTTTTGTTAAAAATCTAATAACATGAAAATAATTATGTCATTGTCACTAAAACTATGATAACTATTCTGGACAAATTTAACTTAAAAAATAACACAGTCCTTAAGGGCGTTTTACCCTACCCTACATAATTTCAAGTTTCATCCTTCACTCAAATAAAAGTAAACGATATATTTTCAGGCACAG